TCATTTAATTTTTAAAAAGTATATCTGTACACCCTAGCTTAGATAGTTATACCAAAAAAGTACCCTTAAGTAAGAACTATCTCAATATGTTTAGATGGTTGTAACAAAGCAGTACCCTTAAGTAAGAACTATCTCAATATGTTTAGATGGTTGTACCAAAGCAGTACTCTTTAAATAAGAACCTTCTCAATATGTTTAGATGGTTGTACCAAAGCAGTACTCTTTAAATAAGAACCTTCTCAATATGTTTAGATGGTTGTACCAGTGTAGTACCCTTAAGTAAGAACTATCTCAATATGTTTAGAATGGTTGTACCAAAGAAGTACCCTTTAAGTAAGAACTATCTCAGTATGTTTTGATGTTTGTACCAAAGCAGTACTCTTTAAATAAGAACCTTCTCAATATGTTTAGAATGGTTGTACCAAAGCAGTACTCTTTAAATAAGAACCTTCTCAATATGTTTAGATGGTTGTACCAGTGTAGTACCCTTAAGTAAGAACTATCTCAATATGATTAGAATGGTTGTACCAAAGCAGTACTCTTTAAGCAAGAACTATCTCAATATGTTTAGATGGTTGTACCAAAGAAGTACCCTTTAAGTAAGAACTATCTCAATATGTTTTGATGGTTGTACCAAAGCAGTACTCTTTAAATAAGAACCTTCTCAATATGTTTAGAATGGTTGTACCAAAGCAGTACTCTTTAAGCAAGAACTATCTCAATATGTTTAGATGGTTGTACCAAAGCAGTACTCTTTAAGTAAGAACAATCTCAATATGTTTAGATGGTTGTACCAAAGCAGTACTCGTCAAGCAAGCACTATCTTAATATGTTTAGATGGTTGTACCAAAGCAGTACTCGTCAAGCAAGCACTATCTCAATATGTTTAGATGGTTGTACCAAAGCAGTACTCTTTAAGTAAGAACAATCTCAATATGATTAGATGGTTGTACCAAAGCAGTACTCTTTAACTAAGAACCTTCTCAATATGATTAGATGGTTGTACCAAAGCAGGACCCTTTAAGCAAGAACTATCTCAATATGTTTAGATGGTTGTACCAAAGCAGGACCCTTTAAGTAAAAACTATCTCAATATGTTGAGATGGTTGTACCAAAGCAGTATTCTTTAAATAAGAACCTTCTCAATATGTTTAGATGGTTGTACCAAAGCAGTATTCTTTAAGTAAGAACCTTCTCAATATGTTTAGATGGTTGTACCAAAGCATTACTCTTTAAGTAAGAACTATCTCAATATGTTTAGATGGTTGTACCAAAGCAGTATTCTTTAAGTAAGAACTATCTCAATATGTGTTGATGGTTGTACCAAAGCAGTATTCTTTAAGTAAGAACCTTCTCAATATGTTTAGATGGTTGTACCAAAGCAGTACTCTTTAAGTAAGAACTATCTCATTATGTTTAGATGATTGTACCAATGTGATATTCAGTAAGTTAAATTTACTTCATTATGTTTAGATGATTGTACCAATGTGATATTCAGGAAGTTAAATTTACTTCATTATGTTTAGATGATTGTACCAATGTGATATTCAGTAAGTTAAATTTACTTCATTATGTTTAGATGGTTGTACCAATGTGGTATTCAGTAAGTTAAAACTACTTTGTAACTTAAAAACTACATACAAGATGTGCACCTATGTATGTTAACACTAACTTGAGAAATAACACTTAACACAGACATGAGATGTATAACTAAGTTTATCACTGATTTGATACATCTGAGTATTTTGACACTGATTTTATATGTGTACCTGAATATGTTAACACTGACTTGAGAAATAACAGTTAACACAGACATGAGATGTATGCCTAAGTTTAACACTGATTTGATATGTGTACCTGAGTATGTTAACACTGACTTAATGTGTGTACCTGTGTATCTTAACACACATATGTGTGATATTTGTGTATGGTATCACATTATGCTAATATAATAATTGATTGACAAACAACAATGAAGTGGTTTGATTTTGAGGAACATACTATGTGTTTCAATCGAACATTGGTCTGTTATCATGTAGCATGTTCCCCAAAATAAAACCACTTCATTATAAGTTGTTGTTTGTCATTCCACTCTCTTGTGATATAACTTACCAGTTAATACAAGATGGGTAACGTTTTAGCAAACACTGAAACAAGATGTGTACCTGTGTATGTTAACACTGACTTCTGAGATACATTTCACTTAACATAAGATGAAATGAGAACATGTCATACTAAATTATTAAAATTAATTCTTATATGAAGGTCTTTTGGAAAGTAGGCTGTCTTTTGAGGGATCAAACTGGTAATGTGGGAAGATTTGTTGGTAAAATCATCAATATCTATGGTAATTCTTCTTCATAACTCAAAAATGTGGAGTTTGGGTTGGAGGAATATAAATTATCTTTACATGAAAGTATTTCCAAATTTGGGGGAAGTTTGTAAATGTACTCTATGTACATGATTTTTTGTGTTGGAATAGAAACTCTTTTTGTAAATGATTTCTAGCTTGAAGGGAAAAAAATGGAAATGTACTTTATGAGCATGTTAGTTTGATAGGCCCTTGAACCGATTTGTGTAAATAAAAAGTTATTCAAAACATACTTACCTCTGCTTCCACTTATAGCTATTACTCGACTGCCAGGGTTTCAATTTTGCCCATCTCAGTTGAGGCTGGCCATGATCTGATTCACTGTGAGATGGAGACATATATTCGGTCTGGGGGTATCTCTCCAGGGGGTTCTGAGGCTGCTTTTGCTTATGATCCAGGACAGTCTCTAGAGAATTTGGACTCTCTCTCTTTTTCTTTTTTTCCGGTGCCTTTGTTTACTAGGTCAGCTTCTTTTGAGGTCAATTTGGATCAGCCTCCTCCTGCTCCATCAAATTTCTGGTTCCTTTGGGAAGAGCACATATGTGGTCCCTTCAGTGGTCACTGTGCAACCAATGGATCATGAATTGCAATCCACTGGATTATCCAGTCTCTTTAATCAGGAGCAACATCTTAGTTCTTGATTGGTGGTTGGATCAGATCAACACTACTATCAGTGTTCATATACTGCCACCTCCTCCTGAGTTTCATCTCTTTACAGATGCCTCACTTCAGGGATGAGGTATGTATATTGAAGGTTGGGAATTCCAGGGTCTGTGGATGGAAGATAAATCATCATTCCACATCAATATTTTAGAACTTCTTGTTGTCCAACGGGCAATGGTTCAAAATCTAGATCTATTACAGGGAAAATCATCATATTTCATTCCAAGAATTCCACAGTAATCTCTTACATTTCCTGTCATGGGGGCAGACGTTCTCAGGACCTTGTGATTGAACTTTGGATATTCTCTACTGGGCTCACTCCCATCATATTAGCCTCCTGGCTTGCTTTGTTCTAGGGATGATGAATTTAATAGCAGATCACCTATCTCGACCCAATCGAATTCTCGCGACTGAATGGATGCTTCATCACTAGGTTTTCCAATGGATTTGCTCTCAGTTCTGGACTCTGATGTTTGATGCATTCACCACTCATTGGAGCTCTCAACTACAGGTGTTTTGGCCCCAAGTACCTCATCCTCTGGATTTGGCAATAGATGCATTCAGTCTAGATTGGATGGGATTACTCCTATGCCTTTCTCCAAATTTGTCTGCTACAAAGAGTTTTGGCTAGGATTTGATCCACTACTTCTTGAGTGCTGTTGGCAACCCTAGATTGGACAGCTCAACCATGGTTTTCTCTTCAATTCAGTATATTCAAGTGTGTCCACCTCTGCCACTTCCTCTTCAGCCATCTCTGCAACAATCTCAATTTAACATTCTGCACCCAAACTTTCCCAACCTCAAACTTCGTTTATGGAAGTTATGTGGTCCTTCGCACGACATCAGGGTTTAACTTCCTAAAATTGCCTCAGTCTATCCTTAGACCCACAATGGCCATTTATCAACAGAAATGGCACACTTATGGTGTCTCACAAAGAAATTGAACCCACTTCACCCAAAAGTGGCCACCATATCTCAGTTTTTGATCTGTTTTTTTTAGTTGGGTCTAGCTTTGTCTATGATCGCTTTATATAAGGCAACTTTATCAGCTACTTTTCGATATTCTAAACATCAGAAAGTATTTGAATTCCCAATGCTATCCAGCCTTCTCAAATCATTTAGAGTCCTCCATCCCAAACGGCCTTTTTTGATTACCCAACTGGGATATTAAAGTGGTATTACATGCTTTGTCTCCACATCCATTTGAGTCTTTAGCCTCGTGTACCATGTATCACTTTTCCCTTCAAGTGTACTTTTTGTTGCTGTTGACATGTGGACATTGTAGGTTGAAGTTGTTTGTACTACATGTGCACAGGACTCCTTATCACTCCACTTATTTCCTGTTATACCCTGATAGGTCCTTTCTTCCTAAGACTCTGGCAGCCAGGGAAGGGGATAAATCCTTCCCACTAATTCTCTTGCCAGCTATTTCTCACATCTATGACCGATTGCACCCAGATCGTTTGTTATGTCCTGTCAGAGCATTCTTTACACGATCTGGCAGTTTCTTCTTCTGAGGGTTTTTGTGGCCATTTTAACAATATCTGCTAGATTATAAGGAGGAGTGAATATTTTTTGTCCTCCTCTTGTCTCTTTACTTTCCAAGGTCCCTTACCTCCTTTTTCACTGGATCCCACTCTGTGGCGAGTGTTGTCCAGACAGGTGAGCTTTTATAAATCCAATTCCTCAACCAATTTAATTTTATTTACTACCAGTTGCAACAGGCTCTGTAGAAATGAGATGTTCCATAAGACCATCTAGGAGCTCACCAGATGCTATTACCATAATATGCTAGACTGCCACTCATAGACTATCATGAGTAAAGCTAAAGGGGATCCTGCCCAGCCCTGCCAATCATTGGATTGAATAAAATGGGATGGGTTTGCTTTTAAAATTTAGGAAACTTGGTTCATCTATTGCACTGTTCTTCAGGACTCCCCAACACACATTACTCCCAGATTCTACTGGTGGAGCTAGGGAGTTCTTACCACACCCAGTTTCCACTCACTGGGGTGATGGACAGAGGCTTTTCTTCCAGAATGGTCGAGTGATTTCCTCCACTCTTGGAGAAGAGGGTGATGTTGGAGGCCGTCCTACCTGGGTCCCGAGCTGTTTTTTCCAGATGTCGGTAGGAGCAGCACCAGCCTACGTGGGAGCCTACTTGTAATACTGGTTCAGATTTGATGCTTGGCTATCTGGTTGGGGTGTGCATGGCCCTTCATTTTGATCAATATCAGTTTAGTTTGTTGTCCATGGAAGGAAATCCACTATCTCCTTGTAATTTCAAATGTGAAGTGGTCCCATCCTGGATTCTTGGTTGAGCACAGTGTTCCACATCCTCTCCATAATTCCAGGAACAAGTGGAAGGCTCCTTGCCTACTCGGGTGGCAAGTGAGGATGAATGTTCATAATTCCAGACTGGATGAGTTCTGTTCCCTTTGTTGATTAAGGCATACACGATCACCTCATTCCGAGCCTGGGATGTTGCCTTTCGGGCTTCTTCAGGTGGAGAAGAAAGTTTGCTTCTGTGTTGGTTACTTTCTTATTGTGTTTCTGGTGGTTCAGAAAGCATCACCTTATGTTTACAGGTAGGGATCTAATAAAAAGTATATATATATATATATATATATATATATATATAATATAGTACACGTACCTAATTACGTACCTACGTACCACCTAACGTAGGTATATAGAGAACAACGACCTAACTTACTACCTAACC